CCCCCCCCCCCCCAATAATTGGAAATTTTTGTTTTTTTAGCAAATTTTGCTCTAAATATCCTTTTACACCCCTTCAAAAAATTTTACACTCTTTCAAAACCTGCTACACTCCCTCCCCCCCCCTCAATCTTAGAACCTTCGCGCGGGCGCTGCAGAAAAATGACATATCACCAGTCCTAGAAATTATAATTACGATAGAAATCGATGACTTTAGACACGTATATATTAAAACTAGGTTTTTATTACTTATCAATGATGATTATAAGTTCAATTAGAAATGATTCTCGTCTTGATAGAAATAAGGTAATTTTTATTCCATTGTATATTCGTATATCGATGTAACCGCATGTTGCTATTGTTGTTGCTATGAATCTGTCGTATAATATTTTTTGTCGTCATAATCAGAAATTATTTCGTTTAGTAAGACAAGGGTTTATGTAAAAAATTATGGTCTTGAACGACAACATTTATTTGCTGATGCAACAGCTCAACGTGCAATTATTGATGTTAAACAACGTGAAGGTAGAAAATACTTTGTTTTTGTTTGTTTAATTCAAATCATAAAAAATTCTAGCTGCTCGTCGAATAATTGATACAAAAAATCGATTGGAAAAAATCTATGCTAAACAACGAGCACTTAATGAAGATGCAGCTATTGCTCAACAAGATCGACGTGCTGCTGAATTAATGACTAAAATTGCTGTTTGTTTCTCTTATTTAAAACAAAAACATATAGTAATAATTTTCCTAATTTAGGATGTTGATAATCGTCGAACACAATTAGCGAGTCAATATTTACGTGAGAAAATTGAACGAGAAGTAGCATTTGAAACTGAAGGAGCCGCTAAAGCTAAAGTACAATATGCTGAACAAGAAACACGACAACATGAAGATCATTTACGACATTTTCAAGTAAATAATTCTTTTATTAATTAAGTATTCTTAGGTTTTTTTCTTCTATTCTATAGAAAACGGCAAGTAAAAATGAAGAGGCTGAACATGATTTACAAGAATCACTTAAACAAGTAGAATATGAACGACGTAAAAAAGAAATTGAAGTAAAACAAATACGAGAAGAATTAAATCGTAAGAAAAAACTAGATGCCATTAATGTACGTAAGGAAATATCACGTGCTGAACACGAAGAAAAAGAATTAGAAGAACAAATCATTAAAGAAAAAGCAGAATTAGATAAAGTAAAATAATTAATCAATTACTTTCATTCTATGTTTATTTTGATTTTTCAGTTACATTCACGACGTGAAGATAGTTATTTACGTTTAATAAAACATCGAGATCAAATACGTGACAATAGAATTTTATTAGAAACACATCAACGTGAATATGAACGTCTTCTACGTGTTCATGCTCGATCACAATCCTTACAATCATTAAATAATATTTAAACATATATTTATATTTTATATTATATACATTTCATTTTATTCACCGGTGTTTTTTTTTACCACGAAGAAGACTTTACGCTTTTTTTTATTCACTAATAACATAAATATATATTTTTTTGAAATAATTTAGAGAGAGAGAAAAAAAACGAAAACTTATTTGCTTATATTTTGTATACGCTCAAATAAAGATTTATACCAAGTCATACAAAATCGGATTTTTCTGTCAATTGAACTTAGCGTAAGATGGCTGATGATATATTTAGTCCTTGATGTCACTATTTGAATTCTTTTTTTTTATGAAGAAAAATATTCTCTTTGATGATATAAGAAGGACCTCTTTCGACATGTTACTTGTTATTGGATGTTATGTGTTGTTGAATATCATATATATAAATCACAACTGCTGAGTTCCTTCGTTCGTCATAAAATAAAAACAAAACTGTGAAACTATATATTTGTTAACTGATAACATCAGTTGTTCGTTCGTTCGAGACGTAGTTATATATATATAATATAATTTTCTTATAGTTTTATTTAGATAAATAGCATGAGTACATCTTATTTAAGTAAAGGCGCTCTTAGCGCTGGTGTTGGTTTAGCAATCTATGCTGGTATGTAGGAAATTTATTTCTATTAATGACATTCAATTAACTTGATTCTTCTAGGTTTAACTTATATGTTAACGGGTTATGGTTTTCGTTTTGATATTGGCTGGTTTCTTCTATCTATTTCACCTTATCAATGGGCATTAGTTGGTATTGCTCTAGCTGTTTCATTATCCGTTCTTGGAGCCGCTTTGTAAAGAAGAAAAAAAAATCATTTTGTTTCTATATAGACATAATCTTTTTCTTTTAATAGAGGTATTTTTGCAACTGGTGTAAGTATAATAGGTGGTGGAGTTAAAGCACCACGTATTCGAACAAAAAATCTTATTTCAATTATTATGTGCGAAGCCGTTGCTATCTATGGTCTTATTATGGGTATTGTTATTTCTGGTTCAATTAGTGTAAGATAAAAATAAAATAATGATATTGTACTATTAATGTTTTTAATCATTTTGTAGAGTTATCAAACAACTAGACCTGAAGAATTAGCTCTTCGATATCGTGCTGGTTATAAATTATTTGGAGCTGGTTTAACAGTTGGTTTATGTAATTTATTTTGTGGTGTTTGTGTTGGTTTAGTTGGATCCGGTGCCGCTTTAGCTGATGCTCAAAATTCATCATTATTTGTTCGTATACTTATCATTGAAATTTTTGCTAGTGCAATTGGTCTTTTTGGCCTTATTGTCTCTATACTTCAAGTAAAAATTTCGAAAATATTCATAATTTAAAATATTTTATTTTGGAAATATTTTCTTTTTAGTCGAACGGAGCCAGTATGACTGATTAAATAATAACAACTTATTTATTCCAATTCCTAATAATCATTCTATTTTATTTTTTTTCTTCATCACATCATTCTATATATGTATAGCCATCAGTATGACAGTGCATTTAACGTATCTAGTTATTTGTTGTTTGTGATCGTGAATAAAAGCCGAAAATTTTGCATTTTTAAATCTTTTTGGATGGATCGAGAAAAAAAAGAAGATAATATTTAAAAATAATAACAATAACAATGAACGATCTAGGTCTTTTTTTTATGCCAAAAGAAAAATAGAAGACAAGACTAAAAACAATCAAAACCGCGACAACTGTACATAATCATATTGATGCTATCAATTAAAATGGAACCGAAAAGTATAACCTTGATTATTTCCACCACCAAATGGATTAAAACCACCTTGAAATGGATTATGTTGTTGAGCTTGTTCTTCCGCATCAAGAGGATCATCACCAGCATCGAATTTAGCACGTTTTTCTAAAAATAAAATGAAATAAAATAAAATAAATAGATTTATTTCTATTTAAATACAAACCTGGATCAGTTAAAACTTCTTTAGCAGCAGCAATATCAATAAACATTTTTTCTGCTTTTTTCTTATCATCACCTTCATATTTATCTGGATGCCATCTAATAGCTAATTTTCTGAAAGCTCGTAAAACTTCAGCTTTATTAGCTGATCGTCGTACACCTAAGATTTTATAATAATCTCGTTTTTTCGATTGTTTTATTAATTTTTGTACACGTTTTATTCCATCATGTACACGTTGTGTATCTTCATGTTCATGTGCTCGTTGATAATCAGCTAATGCAGCTTCATAATCTTCATTTAATATATGTGCTTCAGCACGACTAACAAGAATTTCAGAATCAGATACATGATATGTATCTAAAACTTCTGTACATATTTGTATTGTATCTTTTGCTGGAGATTTTCCACGTGACATACATGTACATAATGATGAATGTGCACGATAAACAAATGTATGTGATGCTGGATCAGAAGAAAGTTTAAGAACTTGATTAGCTTTTTCAAGACAATCATTCCAACGTGATTGACTTGTTGCATCACGTATAGTTTCTAATTGTTTAGCTAATTTTTTTACTTTAATATAATGTGCATGACATGCTTTATGATCAGGATCTAATTTAAGACATTCACGAATGTTTCTTTAAAAAAAAAAAATAAAAATAGTATACGAAAGAGAAAGAAATATATGTATACTTACGTTAAACTATCATCAGCGTCACCAATTGAATAGAGTAAATCACTTATTTGAAGAAAAGCTTGAGTATTATCCGGTATTAATTTAGCTGTAGCTTTAAGATCATTTATTGCTTTTAATGTATCACCGGATTTTAAATAGCTATCAGCACGTAATTCACGTAATTTTATTGCCCATGGTGAATGCTAGAAAATAAAAATAAAAGAATTGAATTTGATTAATAATTTTTATGTTCTTCACTTATTTAAAAAAAAGCAACTATCAAAAAACTATGTCAATATCTTCTGAGTTACAATGGACTTTATTATACAGTAGTTTATCCGCTATGTATATGATCTTATAGAAGAACGTCTGTCCATCAACACTTACATAAGATTAGTTACAATAAAAATAAAAAAAGTAGGAAGTAGAGAATTTTATTTGATTCTATTCTTTTTAGTGTTTACAGTTAAGATGCATAAACATATTGTATTAATATCTAATGAAAGAAAGAATTAGCAAATAATTTCGAACAATAAACTAATTCATCAAACGTTTGCATCGTCAATGGAGTTACAAAAATAAAATTTATAGTCAATATCTTCATTTTATTGGTCATATAAAACTACGTATATGTAGTTTAGTTAGTTGTACTTTGTTAAATAGAAACTTATATGCAATCCTAACAAGTATCATACATTAAGTATTAATTACAGGTCTACTATAGCTCAATAAATATATAACAGTCAATACAAGACATAATCAATTTGTATAATTATCTCTAAGTCCGTTTCTATCATTATAAACTTGTCTTGTTTGTATAGTCAACTGTGGAATTATATAAACATAATAGTAACGGATTTTTCTCATTACTAATTGTTATTCTTTCTCTTCAAGCCCAGCTTTAGCAATTCCAAGAGAACAAAAAAATATATCTTTTTCATAGTATAAATAACCGGAAAGAGACAATGTCTTTAGTCTACATCTTTACTCAATCAATTTCATTATTTTAGTTTTACTGCAATAATAATCATACACTAACCTCAATTATTGTGGAAAGTAATTCAATTGCTCTCGCATAATCTTGATGTGAATAGGAACTTTCTGCTTCTTGAAATACTTGGCCCATTTGTATTGTTGTATCAAGTTGAGTATGTGCTTCACCGTTTGAAGTATCCGATCTTAGCTAAAATTCAAACATAATACATAGATTAAAATTATTCCATATAAATCTACATACGACAGTCTGAAAATCTTCTCTTGCTTCTTCAAAATCACCTTGCTTCAATAGAACATTTCCTCGTTGCATACGAGCCTATATCAAGCAAAAACAAATATTTTTGAATTTATTATCTATTCAAATAACTTACAGCAACAAAATCAGGTTTAAGTTCAATAACTTTACTTAAATCTGGCAATGCTGCTTTCGATTTTCCCATAGCTAAATAAACTGTTGCTCGACGAAAATAACTAAGATAATTTTGTGGATCAGCCTCTTGATAAAGATAAAAAAAAACAACATTTTAATGAATATATTTTCAAAATTTTACATACCAACAGCTGAATGAAAATGTGTTAAAGCATCAGATAATTGTCCGGTAGCTAATAACTTTTTTCCTTTCTCTAAATGATCGTTTACAATATCAGCTGTTTTTACTTCCGCCGTATCCCCTCTAGCACCTGTGAGAAAATAAATAAAATAATTCAATGAATATATATATTTCTTCTTTAACTTACCAGACAAAAATAAATCTGACAGGGTCACTAATACAAATAAATATAATAATAAATTACTACACCGAGGCATGACGCTTTTACTGGAGGATAAAAATATATTTAAGAATATTTTTATCTATAGTTGAATATGCGAAATATATAAAAATTCACACCATAATATTCGACAGCTGAAAGCTAGATATTGATGTAAAGCGCCGACAAACGTTGAAGACGTTGAATGGTTAATATAGTCCAATCAGATATGAACAAGCGAGACCTATAAAGATTGTAAAGGTTATTTGAAAATATTTATATTTTTCAATGATAATTATATTTTTCTACATTTTAAATAATATAAAATAGAAAATTTTCAAAAAAACACTCAGCGACCTCTATGCATGAAAGAGATAAGAGCTGATCTTGAACCTTCATGTTAGTTAGTTCACTTAATCTTTTATTTTAATACATTCGGAATGATGTAAAATACTCAAAGGTGAATTGATAAAATGCACTATCATTTTTTTTGTCTTCAAAGTTCGCTGACCGAATAATATATATATATGCATATATATGTAAATACAGCACGTAAAAGGACAATTTTCAATTATTCTCTCTTATCCTACCTACACGTTTCTTATTGTCTGTTGACTTACGCCGTATTTTGTTTCTTTTTTTTCTCTATTTCTGATGACATCACTAATAACAAATCGTCGTGAAAATCAGAATAGTAAAAATAATTTTAAAGAAGAGAACACATCTGATGATAGTCTTTTATTGATGGTTGATGCTACTGAAGAACATGCGCCTCTACTAAACATCATTGATGATGATTTAGAAACAGATGATTTACCTTCCTCACATAATATACCACTTCGATCACGTTCATCAACTTCACATTGCCATGTGCCTGATGATAAATTTGATTATGGTGCACGAAATCGTCTTGTAGCTGTATTATTTGTCTGTATTATTTTTATGGTTATTGAAATTATTGGTATGTTTTCAAGTTTATGAAGAAAAACAAAACATTATTTATATTGATTTAGGTGGTGTACTTTCAAAGTCAACAGCTGTTGCAACTGATGCAGCGCATATGTGTGTTGATGTTACTAGTTTTGTTATATCATTAGCATCATTATATTTAGCTACACAAAGACCAACAAAAAAACTTTCATTTGGATATATTCGAGCGGGTATGATCAATATATCATATCGGTTAAAACGGAGACATTAATATTTTTCTTTAGAGGTTCTTGGAGCTCTTGTTAGTGTACTACTTATTTGGGTCGTTACTGGGATTCTTGTTTATATGGCTATTCAACGTTGTATTGATCAAACCTTTGAAGTAAAGCCAAATGAAATGATTATTGTAGCTGCATGTGGCGTTGTTTTCAATATCGTGTAGGTATGAAACATCTAATCTTATCATTTAAAAACTAAAAAACCATTTCTTCTGTATTGCAGAATGTTTTTTGTATTACATGCTAATGTATGTGGTCAATCGCTACCCCACCATGGTCACTCGCATGGAGGTAATCATGGTCATTCACATGGCGGCAATCACAATCATACACATGCAGATAATCACGGTCATTTACATGACGATCATCACGGTCATTCTCATGACGATCATCATGGTCATTCACATCTTGCTAGTCATGAGCATTCACATGACAACGAATTATTATCCGTTGAGATTACATCTAGAGACAATCAACAAACAGTACCTAAACAATCAAAATCATCTAATAATATTAATGTACGTGCAGCTATTATTCACGTTATCGGAGACTTTGTACAGAGTGTTGGTGTTCTTTGTGCTGCAATATTAATCAAAATCAAAGTATTACAAATATTTATCAATAAGATTTCATTTAATTATAAATAAAATTATTTTTTTTAGCCTGAATATAAATTAGCTGATCCAATTTGTACTTTTGCTTTCTCAGTATTAGTTCTTATTACGACAATCACTATCATGCGTGATATTGTTCTTGTTCTTATGGAAGGTAAATAAATCTTTTTGATTTATTTGTTAATTTCATCTTTAATTATTTCAAAATCTAATAGGTGTTCCATCAAATGTGGATTATACACAAGTTGTCGAAGATCTTATGCATGTATCCGGTGTTCGAAATGCGCATAGTTTACATATATGGTCATTATCTACACAGAAAATAGCATTATCTGTTCATATAGCAATAGGTAAGTGATATTTTTTCAATGATAATAATAAATTCTAATATGAAAATTTTTTTAGACAATGATCAAGATTCTTTGCGAATTTTGAATGAAGTACAAGAAATGCTTCGTCATAATCATTCAATAAATCGATCAACAATTCAAATTGAAATATATGATGAACAAATAATGAATTCATGTGAAAATTGTCGACAACCAATTACCTGATAAAATACATCGAAATTTACCGAAGTTGCAGTATTATTTTATACATCTTTTTATTTTGCAATTTCATGTTTTTGTTTTCAAAAAAAATGTGTATGTTATTTTTTTCAAAATTGTTAGTTTTCTTGTGAATTTAGATATAATTTTCAATCGAACTTACTGTATTCTTTTTTTTTAAAGCAATATCAAACAGAATAAAGCCTACCGATGTTGTTGCTTTTTTATAGTTAATATGACACTTAATAATTGTATGCAAATGAATAGATGAAAATTTGACTTAGAAAATAGATAGAGGGATTTAAAAGAAGAATATGATGCGATATGACTTAGAAAGGACTAGTGATAATTATAAATTTGTTATTATATGATAGATTAATTTCTAATTGTGAAAATGAATAGTTTTTATTACTCATATATATATGTCGATCATTTGCCGCAGATATTTATCCGTTACCAACTTCGGCTAATAATAGAAGTCTGAGCTATCTAAGTGATATGAATTCATATCACTATTGTCTCATTATTTTCTTAGACGTCTCTTGTCGTTCCGTAATACTAAATACTAATTTCGCCATTGTCATAATGATGAGATGTATTAATTTCCTCTCGACAAATACTAAAAAGGAAATAACCATTCAGATCTATTCAAATGAATTCTATTCAATATTACTAATGCTCTCATGTTTTAATGAGTAGAACAGATGAACTTTTTCGATTCAGATAGAAACAAATAATGCGTTTATCACACAACAATAGGATATGATTAAAAACTAGTTAGTACAATCATGCGATGTATAGTATATCTTCGACCATAGAGAACAAGTCTATGAATATAAACAATACTTTAATAATTTCTCTGAAGTTAAAATCAGAACGAATTCACTCTTCTGTTGTTTATCAGTAGATTGAGAGGATTTATGTAGATTATTTCGTACAGACGATGATGATGACAAACAAAATGCTTCTATTAAATATATATCCTATATAAGACATTAAAGTATTCTTGCGCATGCACATTAAATATAATATAAGGATCAATGGTAACATTCTGAAGTGTTTGAATTAGTCATTAGAAATGAATCTATAATTTATTCAAAAAGGTATAATAATGTGTTCTAAGACTTCAAACATTTCATAGTCAAAATCTCTGTTATTTTCTCGGAGAATTTATCTTAATGAACTCTTACTTTCTTTTTCATTTCTTCTCTAATAAATGAATGTTGATTAATTAATTACAGTTTATCAAATAGAATGTCAGTTAATCAAATATCAATGCAAAAATTTACTAATCATTTGTCTTTTTTCAAATGTCGTTTAACTATATCAGACGGTGAGAAATTAAACCTTCACAATGTGTTTGATATATTATAATAAATCAAGTAATATGAAAGATATATAAAGACTTCTTTTACTATGTGAATAACCTTGATCTTTATCATCATAAATCATAATATCACTACCTTTTTACGTCTTCAAACTATCGATCATAAACTATTCTTTCTTTTCCTTTTTTTTCTATTCGTTTTTGTTATTTATTTTGAATAGTAACTCGGCAGACGAGTAGAAATAAATGATAAAATAAGAACAAACTCAGTATTATAGAGATTTTATTGGTTTTTAAAATCTAGTTGAAATAGAGAAATGTAAACCTCTAAAAAAGTATCAAATGTTCTTATTGCTATTGATAACGATTTAGGAAGAAGTAATCTAATTTTATCAAACGAAATATCACTTCGAATGTGTTCAACAACTATACATTGTCATATAGTCGATAATGGATTTGATTATGATGTGCGAAATCGTCATATAACTGTATTAATTGTTTGTGTTGATTTTTATGATTTTTGAAATTTAGAGAAAAAAACAAATGTCATTTATATTGATTTACGTGGTGTACTTTCCAATTCATATGTGTAATTAGCTTTCTTATGTCATTAACAGCAATGTATTTGACTACAAAACGTTTAATAAAAAGGCTTTCATTTAGTTTCCATCGAGCACGTCTGCATTCTATTTCCTTGTAAATATTAATTTTATATTAGTTCCTTTTAGAAGTAATTGGAGCTCTTTTGACTTTATGCTGAGCATCGGATTACTCGTTTATGTGGCTATCGGGCTTTCTATTTATATAAATTTAATTATTTTTTTAAACATGATAACTTCTATGTTACCGAAGTTCATAAACTATCGTATTCTATATATTTTATTAAAGAAAGAAAACAATGTGGAATCACCATCATTGACTAGATTTTTTTTCATCTTTTTTGAACAAAACAAAATATATAATTTCAGTTAAAATCATTCTACGTTCAAAGAAGAAGAAGACAAAACGAGTAACGGGTTAACAAGTTGTGTACCATATAGTTCAATATCATTTGAAAATAACGGCTGCGGTTGATTATTCGCTAATGATAAAGAAATCATTTCTAAACGATTTTTATTAGGTTCTTTTTTTGAATGAATTGTAAATATATTATCATCTCCATCGATTGAAGCCATAGATGAATCAGAATATGTTCGTGGTCTTTCAGTTTTTATTATTGATAACATGGACGATATCGCTTGTAGCTCATTAGAAAACTCATTCATTCCATCTTCATGAGCATCTTGTCTTAGAATTTCATCAAATTCTAATATAGGTCGCATATAAATAGCTATTTGTTTTAATCTTTGTCGATAACTATAATAAAATAATGAATTTTTATTCTATTTTAAATATATTTAAAATTTACTTTGTTTCAAATGTTTGTTGAAGATGTTCAAAATAACGTTTTCTTTCTAATGTTGCTACTTGTTGTGCTCTTAATTCTTTTCTTGAACCTAATTTATTAATTGAATCTATACGATGATTATATTCAAGTAAATTCGAACGTTTTCTTTCAGCTTCAATTAAACGTTTTTTACTTAGAGCACGTTTAGAACGTAATTGCTTATTTTTTTCATACATTTTTTTAATTTTTATTGTGTAACATAATTGTTCATGAACATCCATATCTCTCGTTGATTTTAAAAGACGATATGAATGTTCAATAGAATAAAGTAATGATTGTAATTTTTCTATTTCTAATGAAGATATATCATTTGTTGATTTATTGAACATTTTCATTAATGTTAATATACGTCGATCATCACTACCTTGATCACCTTCATAAGCAAGACGTGAACGAATTATATCATCTTCTGATAGATTGGAATGTCGTTCAGATATGAGTTCAATCTTAGGTTGTTTACTTGATGTGGAAGGTATTTGTATATTTCGTTTTAATGATTTCGATGACATTTTTATCTGAAAGTAATTGATATTTGAATAAGTTCGATAGTATGAATACTCATAAACTGACTTTTAGTGCATATAATCTATGCGAGAGGTAGTCTGTATACATACGGTTTTGAAATTAGAAAATTATTGGACACATTCAAGTAGATTCATTGGGTATTTTATATTGTTTGAAAAATCTACAACGGGATCTATACAAACTAGAGCAAGTGTGATTACATTTTATATGTGATGCGGACACCGTTATTTCAATTTTCTTTTAAATAGAATCAATCTTCTAAGTTTATATTCTATAAATAAATAAAATACATATTGCCGAATTAGTAAGAAAATCTTTTTCAGGTTGATCCACTTCGATTATTTTTATCATCTATTATTAATAATAATAACACGATTAGTATCTTATTGAAAACAAGACGATTACGGATAATAGTATCAGCATCGTACTGTAATAAATATTGGCTTATATATATTTGATCTTTGTCTACGCTTAGTCATGAAACTAAAAAGAATTTTTATAGTAAAAACATGAATTCTAATCTGATTACTGACTATATCCATCTGTCTAATTTCATGAGAAATATATGAGTCCTAGTTGACATTTGGAATCACTATCAAGATGTATGCGAGAGAAACGAATTATTAGTTAAAGAAAACCCATTTTGTTGTTACCAGTTCAAAATAGATATGTCATTGAAAAGAGATAAAATTTCTTTGCGAAGAACGATTTGTTTCGTTCTATTTCATTCAAATCGATGTTTCTTAACTAACCAAGTTATGTTTATTAGTTTTGATCAGATGGCACCAGTTATTTACATTCAGATTATTCGGAAATAATATTTCGTCTAGTAGACATCAATATCCATCTTAAATCATTCTACAAAATTTACATGAGACTCATAATAATTCGAGAAAAGATACTTTTCATTTTGAGTCAAATTTAATCTCGAAAATTCGTATTAAGAACATTATTAAATTAAATACAAAAAAGTGCATTCTAGATCATATGATCAAGGATAAAACCGGAGCCATAAAATCTTTTCCTCGTACATCTTCAGTCAGGCCATATATTTTTCTTCAATTTCAGAAAGATACCATTCAATTTGACAAAATAAAATTCTTTGTGGTAGGAGAGTATGCAGATCAATATGACAACTATATTCTGAAATTTTGTACTAATCATTTCAGTGATCTTTTATTAGAATACCATCGTTTTTATAAAAACAATGTCATCTATGGAATCGATTACAATAATCTTTTGACTCATATGATGAAATCATCTTCAATTGAGCATATTCTTCTAGTCATGAATTTTATCAACCTATGGCACTCTCTATCGACTAAAAACCTTCATTGGTCTATTACCTCTCATTTCTGTTCATGTGTTTATCTCTTACAAGAATTTTTATAATTATCTATTGAAATTGATAGTTACTCACTGTAATTATCTTTTTTTAGGTTTTAATATTTCTTTTCAGTTATATATCGAATTTTAATTACGTGAGTTTTACTTGTTCTGTATAGTTATTATTCGGAACAACCACTTATATACTTTGAGATCTTAAGAGTATGTTTATAGTTAAATCTTCGAAACATAAATTTTTGAATTTGTTTAGTCGTGCTCATAAGAATACATATATGGTATTCAAATAGAATCTTTATAGTGGAAATTGGTCGATATCAGTATTATATGATTATTTGATATAAGAAATCTGAACGAATTAAG